TCACATGCACGTTACAATTTGCTGCACAAAATGGCCGCCAGAGCTAAAAAAGAAAAATATTGTCCAGTCTTCACAGGTCAAACTACTGGTAGGATTTCAACCAAACCTTTACAGGAGTGATCAGTACCATCCCTAATTGTGCTTATCACCGGCACCTTCCGCTTCGCTGAACAAAATGGTCGTCATAGCTATAAATAGAAAAATCTCGTCTGGCTTTCACAGATAAAGCTTCTGGTGGGATGTCAACCAAACTTAACATGAGTTACCATACATAGTTTTGGGAGACATGTGTTTTTGGGACAAAAACCCTTCTTGTTATTATTAGATTCTACATAATTTTACATACCAGAAGGATAACTTCTAAAAAGTCACATTTATTGAGTAGCATTATTTGCAGTTTTTGGACATGCGACTTGTATTATAAGTTATATATAAACAAAATTATTTTTTTAGCTAGTGGAAGAACAGAATTTTTGCAGGGTACAGGATTTAAAAGTAAGACTCACAATACCTATAAGTAAACATCTTGTATGTCCTTCCTATAAACGAGATGTCAATGTACACAATAAATTTAACAACATATCTTTACTGTTCATCTTAAATAAGAGATACCAATATACACGATATTAATTTGACAAAGAAAATACAATGCTTAATAGCACGTGAAATATTTGTTTTGAATACAACTATTATCAAACGCTTTAAATCAATTATTGTACTGAAGTTGTATTTTTACATGGTGTGGACGTTAAATCAATCTTTGGCAATTAACTTGTAATAAACTACTTATGGATATATTCATTTAAACATTCATATATATTTAAAAATTGAATTTTGTTTGTGTAAAAATGGCTTTAGGACTTTATCTTGGAATCGGTAAAATAAAATTATTTTCTATTGTTTTTATTCAATGTTGTTTGACTTAACTTGACTCACAATTGACTGGACAATGCCAAAATTTATTCACAGGCACATTTACCCTATAAATGAATTTATTTCATGTTTTTAATTGGATATAATTTCACTTTACAATGGAGAGACAATTGTTTTTAAAGATTCCCAATTTGGTACCTCACTTCTATTTTTGCGTAAACATGGCTATTAAGCTACAAATAACCGGAGTACCAAACATTGATCACAATATTTTACCATTTTTAAAAATGTTTGATAGTGTGTGTTATATCATGTACTTTCGTTAAACATGTTTACGGACATTATGTTTATAATGCCGTTTGTTGTTATATGCAATAATAATTTCCGTTTATAGTGGGGAGAGAATAACTGTCCCCGTGTTGTTTAACGATGTGTGGCGATGCTTCATTATTTTGATTATTTCTATAAACAAACACATTTAATACTATTGTATATTTAGTCCTACAGTTCCGTTTTGTAACGTTTCTCGAAATAAATAAGTGTTTTTGTTGTTGTTGTTGTCGTTGTTGTTGTTGTTTATTGTTGTAAGGCAAAACTGAAATTGATAAATAACTTAAATTTTAAACTTATAAAAAACATAAAACATAATTCAATTGACCAATCACCAAATATCGTCTTTAATTACTTATTTTATTTTAACAGTCTGTAATTTACACTTCTTTCCACATGCAAAACTGCTCTTGATGACATTTGGGCATATAAAAAAGAATTTTCTTTTATCTTTTTGTTTATAAGAGTCTCATCTATATATGTAAACGTATATATAAAATTATACAATACAAACATAAAATACCTGTATCGCAATTCTAAATGGAATTACAGGAGACTGTTTTCTTCTAAGGGTGACATATCACAGTAGTATAAGTCGAACACGATAACGTTTACATTTATCGGTCGTACCATTATGACAATATGGGTTGTGAAAGTTATTTAGTATAATTGCATTTTGCATTTTTATTTGCAATATAGAAAATAAAATTCGTTATAGACACGTAAATCCGAGACGCGTAGTGGTTAGAGAGTTAAGATTATGAAGAGTTCATGTAAAGAAAATCATTAATTTTTCGAGTTCAAATCTGCAATAGTGCAATATTTTTGTGTCTGTATGTTTTTTTTTAATGTCAGAAAACATTTTCATATTCTCTTTTATAAACCTGTGATTTATTTAATATTTTGTTCAATTTAAAGTTAAACTTATTAAGGTATAGAAATATTGAATGTACTTGACTTTAAACTTTTACAGGCATTGAACAGATTGAATAGTATTGTCAATATAATAATATTTAAAACTCTGAATTCAATTTGCTATATTTTTTGACAATTTCGGCTTATTTATATATTGTATTTATATATTTAACTTTCGTCCATTCCTCATTCATGACTCTAATCACGATTGTGTTATTTCTAACTTAACCTGCTGAAAGCGAACGTGTGCAAAACTAACTGTTCTGTAATAGTATTGTGTGAAAAAAAATCACGAGGAACTAAAAATATTTAAATACAAAAAATATATAAGAAAATTAAAAATACCGTTTACAAAAAATGGGTATCTACACTGACGAAGCCAACACTCAACCACTACGCTATTACGTTGAACATATAAAAAATATGAGTATTTTTTAGGTGATTAAAGATTTAGGCGATAAATCGTATCCTTTTATATAAGAATTATCGACACTCATGTTTCATCAATTTTGATGTAAGCAGATAATGAAAGGAATAGCGAATTCGAGCTGTAAACTACTGTTTATGCACTCTTATTTACTTTTATATACATATATATATCTGCTGGTTTTTCATATTCTATTGCTATGTCTGTATTAGATAAATTGATTCCAACCTTTAATGATATCGGTTAAATAATCAAAACCACTATACAGTTTGTTTACCGATAGAAGTAGTCTCATCTAATTGAATCATAAACAGGGTATTTATCCATACAGTTAAGTTTAAGTTTAATCTTATATTATTATCTTATATTATTATTAAGTTATATTATCAATGTTCAATACCTATTGGAGCTTTCCCACTTTACTTCTGACATGCCTTAAAGTTCAAATTTTTACACCTTTTAGTAGACAAATTTATTTGACAACATGAACCTATTAAGTCTATTTCTATCCATTAAAGTGTATCTATACCAACTTGACAACACACTGATGCGTACCTGAAAGGTTTCCAACCAATATCTCCAGAAGTTGCTCCATATGGACTATATCTCCCGACATTCAAAAAATAACGGGGCGTCCGTGGCCGAGTGGTTAAGGTCGTTGACTCAAATTCACTAGCCCCTCACCGCTGTGGGTTCAAATCCCGACAGGGACTTTGGATTCTTTCATTTGAGGAAGCTATCCAGCTAGCTTACGGAACGTCGATGGTTCTACTCAGGTGCCCGTTCGTGCCTAAAATAATAAATATGCACGGAAGGGCACCTGAGGTCTTCCTCCATCAGTAAAGCTGGAACGTCGCGATATGAACTATACTGTGTCGATGTGACGTAAAACCCAAAACAAACAAACAGAATAAAAAAAATAACGAGCGGCCTATTTTGTACTGCATTTTTACAAGAGATTTGTTCATAGCCCCAAAAAGCTGAATCATATGTAATTACTGGTAAATCAGTAGCCTCATACATGTTTGTAAATGTTTCATACGGGATGTCTCGAAATTGTTGTTGCATAGTCTAAAAAATACGTTAAAACAAATAAAAGATACACTGTTTAACATATTTCAATGATACATCACAAAAATTTGAAATAAATTCGGATTGAAAAACAGACTGATATCTGAAGTGTACAAAATAAGATTTAAGAGGATTAAAGATCCTGTAACACAATTTTTTATGGTTTTATTTCATACATATGATGCTCAAAGTAAGATTCGCCAATATTGTAAAATCCAATAAGCATTTTTTGTAAAGATATTACCGAAATTACCATTTCATGTAAATAAAGGGAGATAATTAGAAATTTATTTTCTATAAATTCAAAGTCAAATTTTCCAATAAGAAATGAACGCATATAATTTATTACTTATAATGTGCACAAATATTTGCAGCACATATTTTACATATTCTTCGATGCTTGAAACTCGTTTTATCTGCATAATAATATACAAATATTATTTCTTGTAAGAGTGGTAAAGGTCGGCGGGACGCTCTAAGATGGCCCGACTTGAGTGTACGGTCACCCATATGGGCTTTCCGGCGGCGACCTTAAATAAACGCATTAAAAAAAATAATATACACAGAGGTACAATGTCAATAACAAAATATACAGGATCTTTAACACTCGATAAATAAAAAAATTTCTTTCAAAAACAAATACATATCCTCTATCTATTCTTCTGAAAAGGGTAAACATGTGTTTCATGATGTTTTAATTATTATTAGTATAGATCTTGAAGAAATAAGTGCTGCATATGAAATACAATGTCTTATAAAATTGTTATAAGAGTAGCAAAACTTAAACAAAGGGATATTTTGACGTCAATACAAAATACTTAATCACTTAATCAATGCAAATGGAACAGCTTTATGTCAATTTTAAATACACGATATGAAATTTGATACTCAATGTTCAAGCAAGATATGACACTAAAACTGTCACGGGGCATGAAGCACATTACTAAGCGCTGTAAAATGAGATCCAATATGTCACATTTTAGACTCGTTTCGGCTTGTATATATTATAATTCCAACTTACGGAAATAACCACGTCGGTATTTGGCAAATCTAATCTGTTTTTCACACGCTTCATAGAAATAAATGTGTATTCACGAATCAATAACGCTTTCATAATCAAAATCTCAATGCAAAAACAATTGGCATAATTCAACATCATCTGGAAAATAAAAAAAAACTTTCATGCCTTACTGTTGTTAGCGTTGGACATAATCATTTGGTATTAAGGCATTTTTGTGTTTTATGTTTATATTCTGATACAATTTAATATTCAACAATTTGATAACTTAAAGGAGATATGTTCTGACTTCTTGCCACAATTTTTATAAACTTACTTTTAGTATTCTACTTACATGGAATTTGACTCACAAAAGAATTTATGCATCTGTAATGTCTATTTGTATTTCTTTTGGCAATATATAGCGTCAGTGCTTTTGTAAACAAAGTAAGTTATTAACAGTTATCGAATTTCTTTCACTTGTTAGATAATATCATTTTTATTATCATATCATTATATATATTAATAGATGGACACAATTTTGAAATGATAATAATTTAAAGTGAATGGACGTTTTCAATATTCAATTAATTCAATCTTTTTGTATTCGTATTGAAATGCGTTTTAAATTCGTAAAATGTAATTTAATTGCAACTATTGCTAAAGACCTTAGTGAACGAAATCAGATATTTATTTTTTTCGTAAAACGCGTAGATCTGAGCTTCTTCAAAATTGATATGAAAAGCGTTGCTTTGTCACTGTAAAAACGTTTCGTGGTTAATTTCATTCTCACGTTACGATTTTTGTGTTGATCTGAGATTAAATTTCGCATTTGTTTGAATAGTTTTGTTAGACACAATTTTACAACTGACTTGTGTTTTATCAGGCTAAACATTAGTTTACATTTTTAATTCGTCTGAACAATTTTTGTTTTTTTTTTTGTTTTTTTTTTGGCTTTAATAATCAAATCAATGCATGCATGTATATACATTTTGTCACATTATAGATTGACAAATATCGATGATAATCTGTAATTGACGATTCAAAACTATAAGATTGATAGATCGTAATGATACCTCTGCTCCGTACCTTAAGGTATTAGACTAAAAAAGAGGCGAACATTTCAAAATCATTCGTTCTCATTCAAATTATGAGTATATATGTTAAAACTAAATAATTTATGGAACAGCATAATTATAATAGACAATGTCTTCTTTTGTCTGATTTCCATACTAAGCAAGGATATATAGTAACATGCTTCTGTATTTAATGTCAAACTGAATTAAGCATGATTTTATTATCACCTTCTGAGTCTTACGTTATATCTCATTTAAAGTCACTTTTACAGGCCTGACATGGAAGCCTTGGAGACAACCATACGAGAACTTCAAATGGAACAAAGAAGTGAGAAATACATGTTCATTTTTGATCTCTAATAAGTAAAATTATTTTTATGTCAATATGTATATGATGTAGAAGGGTAATGTTATACAACAAAAAGTAGTATACTCGTGACATCGTAAGTCAGATAACTTGAAACTAAAAATGATCATTGGTAATCTTTTAGGCTATATTTTTCCGTATCATTAACCAAAATAAGTAATTGTATCTTTCAGACAGCGGAGAAACTTCAAAATGATGTATACGATATAAAACCAACAGCCGAGTGGGGTTTGAAAAACTTTAAAGCCTTAACAATTGGTCTATGTGGGCATGGAAAGTCCTCATTGATCAACTCATTTGCTTCTATAAGTGTTGGCGAAAAAACTACTGTTTGCGATGCTTCTCCGGGGAGCACACTTGTTACCACGCATGTGAGTTTACAAAGTACGATCCAGAATCACCCGAATGTCCTTAAGAAGTCTCTTGATTTTAATGGTGTCTTCGTTAAATTAAAACTGTAAAGAATTCAATGTTCCACCTAATTGAACGTCAAACAGTACTTATGCCGTTAAGGACTGTTTCAATCCGTTTGTTATTAATCATGGCAACCATACACCGGCGAAAGTGAAAGAACGCGACGTACGCTGAAAGTTTATATCACATTTAAGTGCTTTAAACAAACATTGATTTTGTCAACTTAATATAATACCTGAATAAATTCTTGTTTAAATTTCCCATCTTTTGAACTCTGAATTGTCATCAGGTCAAGCTCCGATTATTTGCAAATGCAACATTTATTCCCTCAAAGGCGTCTAGAAAACGGAGCTCTCATGATTATTTGTCGTCAGTTTGGAAAGTCCCCTTCAGGCACATCAAATATGATAAAAAAAATAAACCCCGAATAAGAATAGAGTTACATTTTGTATTATTTAGTAATGCTCTAACTTAAGTATTGCATAGATCTAGTTATGCATTTATTTTATACATTTGAAAACTAATGGTTTAATTAATAGAATTTAAAATAATACAAGGCGAAATATGTATTAACTTTAAAATCTTTAAAAAAATAAGCTGAGGGGAACGCAGATTACTATGGGTAAGAACATCAAATTTTCATACATATATTTGTTGTTTTGTTTTTACAGTGACTATATCAAACACATTCCTGAATTGAATTTATGATAATTATATGAGTATCCCCAAAATAAAACATCAGATAATGGTTTTTGTTGCTAACGGATAGCGATTCCAAAACTTTTTCATTAAAAGGACTCCTCGTGGTATGAAAATATATTATTTACTCAGTAACGACCTTTTTTGCGTAAATAAAAACTTGTATTTAGTAAGCCGGCAAATACGTTGAAACACTTTGATTGTGTTTAGACGTCAACGCTAATGACGTTGTCACAATGTACAGACTGCGCCGAATGTGCACTACAATCTTTGCGGCGATATGAATGTGCTGATCATTATGTGCTTTATTGTTATAATTTTTTGTTAAGTTAATATATTATGCATTAATGTAGTATCTGTAATATGGACTGCAAATAAATATTATTGAATCTTAATTTCGGCTAATTCTGGATTGGTTTTCAATACATTTATACCCCAAAGTATACACAATGTTAAATAAATTTATATCTAGAATAAATAGGTATTATATACATATATAGAAAAACTTTAATAGAGTAGATTTATAGTTTTTCAAGAAGATTACTTAATAAAAATTTAGTTTGACTGCATTTTGTAAAACATAATAAGTTTGTGTTTGTATCTTCTTTCGGAAAACGACTCCCGATTATTTTCTTTATTTAGAGTTTCTATTGGGATAAGCTCGGTTTCACCATTTGCAATGCATACACATTCAGTTTCTATCTTTTCAACTTGTTCGAGTTCCCATTGGGTACAACTGCACCAAATTACATCGAAATATTCCAAAATTAATCTAACTGATATTATACAGATAATTTCAAAAGATTTACAATACAGGGAGTATTGCAATTTACGCATTATATTTACCCCCTTCCAAGCGTTATCCGTTATGAATTCAATATGTTTGTTCCATGTACAATCAGCAAAAAGAAAAATGTCTTTATGTTTGTGTTCAGAAACCTCTGGAATTTGCTGATTGAACTTATGTAATGAAGTATTATGTTGACGATTTCGCTTTCTGGTTATAAGTCGAGATTCTTACTTTGATTGATTGAAGGTTACTCTGCCCATAAAGAGAATTTTTGGGCGTCAGACTGAATAATGTGTTGCAAAAAAGTGGTTTATAAAAGATTCAATTGTATTAACAAAATCATTTACAAAGACCAAAAGTAGTATGGGACCTTGTATAGAGCCTTAATGGAATTCTGCTTCGACAAAAGCCAAGGATTAGTAGGTACCATATGATATGAACCTTTGTTTTCTATCAGTGTAGTACCTGTTTTCACAAAATAACAAAGATCCAGTTATACCTGCGTGTTTTAGTTTCGATAAGAAGTTTTTATGACAAACCTAAGAACACCACACTAAGTTCAAGACCATTGTCTAGAGATTTACAAAGGGGATCAAAGATGAAGGCAAGCTGATTTATTGTGTAATCACCAGGGATAAAACCAGACAGTGCAGTAGATAAAGACTTCCTAAACGGACTTCGTGATACGGAAAAAATTTGGGGATTTTCTCAAAACATAAATGAAAACAAAAGATCAATAAAACTGTAATACATCGGGTTTTACATGTTTATGCTAGTAATAGTGTTTCTATCAACCATCAACACATTAAAGATGGAGACAATATAACCATAATTTATATAAAGATCCAATAAAAACAAACAAACAAATGAACAAAAATAACAAGTTTCTTTATTTATATACTCTATTGAAGTGTTTATTTTTCAACAAATGACCTAGAAGCGATGTTTTCAAGATATACCAGTAAGTGTTGGTACATGGTGTGAAAGCAGGACTAAACGTAAATTTCATCATATGTATAATATGTAGTAACGCTTCAGTGGGAATTGCATGAAATCTCGAGTGTTAGAATTGCACAAAGGTCGCCATCTTAACTCACATTAACTTATGTGCTTATGGCGTGGAAGTGACAGGATTAAGAATAGAAGTGTTCTTGTGGCTTATCCGTTGGTCGCAATATTTCGTGTGATTTTCAATCTATTGCACCAACTGCGTGGTACAGTTTATCCCAGTCGCTACATTTGTTCTATAAAGAAATTATTCTTAACGTTATTTGTGTAAACAGTGTGTCTGCTTAACTAGAATATTAGTGGTGGAGTGTAACATTTTTAGCTCACCTGTCACCAAGTGACAAGATGACTTTTTAATAACTCAAAATAGCTATAATTTGGATATTAGGCATGAAACATCTTCTAATGGTTGTCTACCAAGTTTGTTCACATAATAGCTCTTGGGTCAGAATTAGCCCCGCACCGGAGGTCATTGTTTTTTCTTATATATATTTTCCCTATGTAAGAAATAACTTTAAAAAATCTTATTTAAAAAAAAACCCAAATAGCTAGAGTTTAGATATTTAACATCAAACGACTTCTTTTGAGTGTCTACTAACTTTGTTCAAATAAAAGCCCTGGGTCAAAATTGTTCCCACACCTTAGGTATCATTGATTTCCCAAATATGTATATAGTTACAACTTTAAAAACAATTATACAAAAAAACAAGGAGCTAGAGATAAGATAAAAAGCATGAAATATCTTCTTATTGGTGTCTACCAAGTTATTCAATTTAAGGCCCTTGTGTTAAAATTGGGCCCGCCCAAGGGTCATTGATTTTCCTTACATGTATAATGTAAAATTTTTAAAAATCTTCTTTTTAAAAATTTCAAAGAGGTAGAGCTTAGATATAAAGCACGAAAAATATTCCAATTGGTGTCTACCAAGTTTGTTCTAACTAAAGCTATTGGGTCAAAATTTGCCCCGCCCAAGGGGTAATTGATTTTCCTTATAATAAGTTATGTAAATTATGTCAATTGCAAAAACCTCTAAAACTCTTCTTTTTAAAAAAAAACAACGGAGCTAGTGCTTATATATTTAGCATGAAAATCTTCTAGTGAGTGTCTTCCAAGTTTGTTAAAAAAAACGCCCTCGGGTCAAAATCGGCCCCGCCCCATGGTGTCATTGATTTTCCTTATATGTGCCGATGTTTTGAAACTGTTGTTTTCCCTTAGCAATTGCAACCAGTAATAGTTTTACACGTGCACTTTTTCAGATATAAATATGAACATTGTGATATCAGGTTAAGATTAAGATTTTATATGTGCTTTTGTTTATAGTTCACAATATTACTTGTTCCTTGTCATGGAGAGTTTTTTATTCAGGTGTGCCATTTCAGGGCCATTATGGCCCTTTTGTGTCTGTTGATGATATAACAGATATCAATTTCCCACGAAAGTTATCTATTTACTTTTCGTTGTTTAAACCCCCAACATCCGATCAGACTATCGGATGCAAATTAACCATCTTTCTACATTGTTTTATCAGTGATAGACGTCCAGCAAAAGCTATATGTACTGTTTCTAAATATAGCCTAAGCAGACGATGGGTCTTTACACCTTTCTCAAAGAAACAAGAATAGTTAGCCTAATTTCTGATCACCAGTTGCAGGACTGTCAAGTTTATCCCTTGATGCCAAACTGTCAGATATATCTATTATTGTAATATTTCCTGTTTTGACCATAATCAACTACTATTTTGACCATAATCAACTACTATATGGTATGATTTCTGGTACCTCAGGTATATTTTAATTAGGAAGTGTATTGCTATGCTGCTATCAGCAGAGGTAAAACAAAATATCACATTTCTGTGTTAAATTGGCATATAACACTACAAAAAACGACCAGAATACGACAAAATAAACTTATCCATTTATATTGAATAACACAAATCAATGAAAGCAACAAACAAAAAAACTATTTTCCTAACACAAAAAAATCCCTTCTAAATTGATTTCAGACAAAGATCACCTAAATATATAAACTTCCTCACTAAGAACCAATTTATTACTCCATTGAAGAAATGATAACTTCTGAGCACTTTTTTGTTCAACAAGAGAACATGTTATTTAAAATTTTGTGTTTAATAAAGTAAGGAAACTGTATCCTAATGTACTAGTACAATCCTACAATGGACACTATTTCTGACCTTAGTTGATGAAATACAAAGCTACTACTAGTATTTATAACTTCAATATAATGAGTCTGTAATATTGATATACTTACAATAGTGAGAAATACAAGTCAAGAGTTTTATCATTTCTGTATATTTTCATTGTGAAATGTAATGGAATTATGCACTTTTATCAATATAAACTACAATTCATTTGATACAAATTGGATTATTCTGACAAATCATTAAATCAAGTAAGTAATAAATTGATGTACTAATTACATGTGTATGGATTCACATGTGATCACATTGCTATGTTTAAAAACAATGTGGTCGCATGGTTATTTACATAATAAACTCCTCCCCTTAGTTCAAATTTGAATTTCTGTTATTATTTGATATTAAATTATAAGAACCTATTTCGTCATACATTTTCAAATTTCTTATCTAGACTCATAGGTTAATTATTTGGCTTCATTTAGGATTT